AATGGACACTCTGCCATGCCGTGCGAATCAATGTTTTGGTGAATCAAATAATTCCGTGAAACATTTGTGAGGAAAAGATGTATGAGAATTGAATTGCTTTAGAAGTAGGTTGGTATGGTGTGATCCAAATAAATAGGTAGAGTTGTAGCTCCATGAGGTACTTCCGGTTATTAGAACCCATACACATACCGCCATATTGACACTTACGTACAATCCACCTCATGTTGGGTTTTTATGTGCAATTACCCGATTCGGTTTTATTTTACTTTTGAAAATTGAGAATGGGAAGTGTCTGGAAAGGTGACATATGATTGGCTGGTCCGATTGGTGGGTTCAGTTCGTGCATGTGCGTTTGCATAGTCCCAGGGTATGACCGTCCTATTCGCTTGTCCCGTGTGTGCCTCTTCCGATGAAGTCGGTGGAATCAACTGAATACGTGTGTGTGGGTATTTTAAAGAGAAAAGTATATTTTTCGTCTCTCAACTTTTGGTGAAGTCTAGATTTGGTCTCTTAACTTCAAAACCGGACAATTTACACCCCCAACTACCGAAACCGGACAAGATTCGTCCCTGGACTCAGTTTTGACCGGTTTTTGGTGTTGACTCACCCCGGTTTTGACCGGTGCTCACTCATATTCCTGTAATATATATATATATATATATATATATATATATATATATATATATATATATATATCCGTGAACTTTTTAAAATTCACACACACTTTTCAACTCCGCGTAGTTTTTACAAGGTCGCATATTTTTTAAAAATAAACATACTTTTTTTAAATCAGCAAACTATTCTGAAATTCACGTACTTTTTTCAAATCCATGATTTTTTAACATTCACATACTTTTTCCAAATCCCCGTATTTTTCCCTAGTTTGTGTAATTTTATCAAATCCAAGTATTTTTCAAAACCATGAACTGTTTCTGAAATTCGCATACTTATTTCAAATCCACATACTTTTCAAAGTCCGCATTTTTTTTCAAATCCATGTTCCTTTTATAATCCATGAACTTTGTATGAAATTCACGTACTTGTTTCAAGTTGAAATAATTTTTGAAATCCACATATTTTTGCGCAAAAGAAGTCCATATCGCGTACTTTTTTCAAGTTCGCATAAAATTTTCAAATTCATGAACTCCTTCAGGAAAATGTACTTGAATATGAAAGGTACATCAATTTTAAAAAATTAAATTAACTTAAAAGAACTAAATGAGCTTAAAAAATACACATATTTGAAAAAGTACATGAACTTGGAAAAAAGTACACAGATTTAAAAAAAATACACAAATTTTAAAAAGGTTCACGTATTTGAAAAAAGTAACCGAATTTGAAAACAGTACGTGGACTTGGAAAAGGTAGGCAAATTTGAGTCGGAACGGTCAAAACCGGGGTGGGACAGCACCAAAACCGGTCAAAACCATGACCAGGGATGAATCTTGTCCGGTTTGAGAAGTTAAGGGTGCAAGTTGTCTGGTTTTGGAGTTGAGGGACCAAATCTAGACTCCGCCAAAAATTAAGGGATGAAAAATATACTTTTCTCTATTTTAAAAGATCAGATCTATTATAAAGATTCATCACAGTACAAAGCATCTCAAATATAATAAAAATTAGAACGAGGTCTATAGACCACCAAATAAACATTGTCGCCGCCGGAACAAGCTGCCAACACGCCCCTGTCGCCACTCCCATACAAGGGGCTGGCTGATCTTATTGATGATAGCTGAGAACTCTTCGTGCACAAGCCTCTAATGACGAGTGCCTCGGAGCCGAAGTCGTCGCCATTTAATTCTTGAATCGATCTGAAGAACTTGACACCAAATCCCGACGTTGTGTACGCAAGGCGAGAACTCTAATCTCGCCGTCCCGAGGAACTGGCAGGAATCTATGTCGGAGCTTCGTCTAATCTGCTCCGATGGACGAACTTGAGGAAGATCATAGCCTAGAAAATGAACATGAAGAAACGCCGCCATCCGTCCGAGCTGCCCCTGGGAGGAATAAAACCCTACCTATCTACTAGTCGGATCCGAGGCAGCAAGATTCCCCTTCCCGCCATCCCGCCATCGGTCACCAGAGCAGCTGGCAGAGGGGAGGCGAATCCACAGGCTTGCCGGTAGAGATCGAGGGGAGGAAGGCTTTCCCTTAGTCGCTTTGCGAAAGGGTAGATAGAAGCCACTGTAACTCGATTGGTGGGTTCTTCTTCCCGGCCAGGTGCGTTCTCTTTTATTTATGTTTCATATCATGGTCTTCTTACCAATACGTGGTGAGTTGAAAAGAATTACTAGTTGGGTTCAGTTTGAATTTCTTTATAAGCCATTCTCTCTCCCAATTGAAGAGGATAGAGAAACTCCCTTAATGATTGTTCATGCCCTTGACTGTCAATTCGATTCTTTGTCTATATCAATTGAGGTCGCTTTAGGCTATATATTCTGCCCACTTCAACTGTGCTCCGTTGCATTAGCTATGTCTTGTGAAGTGAACCAATCAATTTATCTCATAGTATGCCGATCTTTGGTTTTGTGAACAGAGTAACCAATCTCATGGTATGTTTGTTGTGCCACCAAAGTTGTTCAGAAATTTGTAAACTGATGGTAATAGAAACAAAATAATTCACTTGAATGATTTGTGTGTAGAATAATGTATTGGTAGTTACCAATATAGTTGGCATCTTTTTAAAATTTCTACAAAGTTTACCTCGAGGTCTGCAAGACATCTATGTTCCAGAATCCAGACTTTGGTGTTTTAATAAGATTCTTGAAGCTAATGTTGCTGCACAATACCTTCTCTTTTACCTTTTCATTTCTGTTGGGAGAAAGACGATGTCGCTCTTTCTTAGGAAATTGTTTACTAGATGGAACAATAGTCACCGTGCAGAGTTCTTGTACCAAATATTTTTTGTGTGCAACTTAGATCGATTTTCGTATTCATTTATTGTATAATATTATTATGCAGAAATGCCATGGGAGACCAGAAGCTCAACGTCGAATGGGAAGAGGTGAGTGTTGCGCTGATTTAAGTTGCACACACAGATACATTTCTAGATTATCTCCACTTGTGGCTGGGAAGTCCTGGGTTCGAACCGGCCTCCTTGCAGAATTACTATGCAATGGAAAGACCGTCTAGAAATTTCCTTTCCCAGACACACTTTGTGTGGGAGCTTTCACCACCGTCTACACCCTTTTTTAGTGTTGCGCTGATCAGTACAGCGTTACCCCATTTTTTTCCCTGTTTCTTGATTATGTTCCTTCGTGGTTTGCAGATGATCAGGTCTTTCGTTCTTATACTTCTGCCAACCATTCACCGACAGGACTATGGGTAACCGCACGAGGATGATGACAGAGTAGATGGACTGAAGCAGGAGGCTGCCA